ACACTGCACCCTCCCCCTGAACGCACCTCCACGCCACGAAATCTAAATTTACCAAACCGCGCTTGCCATGAAATGATGTTTTCATGGTCCTGTTGGCCACAACTGCGACCATTTAATGGTATGAGAGAGTAGCCGTGTCCATGCATCTCCAGAAGGTTCGGAACAGCCAAACCAAGACAACCAAGCCTACGGCTACTAAGACTACTGCTACTGCTGCGGCTACTTCTTCTACTACTGCTGCTACTGCTAGTACTACTCCTCCTCCTCCTCCTCCTCCTCCTCCTACGACTACGACTACGACTACTACTAGTACTAGTACTACCTACTACTACTGCTACGACCTTTTCTCTATTTTTCACTGACACTGCGCATGATTGTTCTATTTTTTCCTTTTAAGCTTTTGTTTGTTTTACTGTATTTTGATTCCCGACCCTGAATGGACCAGCCATTGTAGAAATGTCTGAAGACATGGGGCACAGGGCACAGAGATAGGATTGACCAGTCTAAGGTAGGGCCTGAACAGACAGTTGGCGATCCAGGTTGGATCAGGTACAGTACCTACAGTTGAGGTTTCAACCAGTTTTGTTTGGAGAACTCTCTGCGATTTTAAAGAGTCTCTAAGGAAACAGGCAATTTCCACAAACATTGCCACACGTTTCTCCCAAATTGGAGAAGGGCATTTGGTAGCAACTGGTCATACTACCGCAGACATGATCTTTCACTCGAGTCCGAAATTACATAAATCAGCTTGAACAACTCTGTATGCTCTCCCTGAGACTTCTCGCAAAGTGATTGCTGGTGCAAACACCGTGGTGAGGGTTGCCTCACACAGGTTTCACCATACTCGTACGCCCAGGCAGGCGACGAAAGACGAGCGCTGTCAGCTGGGCTACATGGCGGGGAAACCCAGGTTTCGTGGAAGGACGGTTCCCACGAGGTCGAGAATGACATAGGAGACGGTATGTAGACGGTATGGCGGTGTGCTTGCAGACAGGGTCCACGGGTGTGGATACCAGGCACACACTGGGAAATAAACATAATGCATGGTGCGCTGATGATTCACTTCATGGTCTTTTGGCGGCCGCATGGTACATCCTTCCTTCAGAGCAGATAGAGTTTAGTCGCACCGGGCGCGACTTCCGTTGTGAGACATCCACACGGTGGGATTTCGTGCATCTCATGGTCACCTTTGCACCCAGAGTTGCTGATGAAGATGCGGCTCACCGTGGAGGGTGGGTAAGCTTCCAGCATGAGCAGTGTATTTTTCCCCAGATAGCTGGAAGCTATAGGGGTTCTTACTTCTCAATGGATGGGATCATTATTGCGGAAATTGGCTGCCGCTGCCGCTGCCGCCTTGTCTCCCAAGCTTGTCTCTCTTCATGATTTCGCTCTTGGCTGCCGCTGCCGCCTTGTTTCGCAAGCTTGTCTCCATTCATGATTTCGCTTTTGGCTGCCGCTGCCGCCTTGTCTCCCAAGCTTGTCTCCCTTCATGATTTCGCTTTTGGCTGCCGGTGCTGCCTTGTCTCCCAAGTTTGTCTCCCTTCATGATATTCGCTCTTGGCTGCCGCTGCCGCCTTGTCTCCCAAGCTTGTCTCCATTCATGATTTCGCTTTTGGCTGCCGCTGCCGCCTTGTCTTCCACGCTTGTCTCCCTTCATGATTTCGCTCTTGGCTGCCGCTGCCGCCTTGTCTTCCACGCTTGTCTCCCTTCATGATTTTGCTTTTGGCTGCCGCTGCCGCCTTGTCTCCCAAGCTTGTCTCCCTTCATGATTTCGCTCTTGGCTGCCGCTGCTGCATTGTTTCCCAAGCTTGTCTCCCTTCGTGATTTCGCTCTTGGCTGCCGCTGCCGCCTTGTCTCCCAAGCTTGTCTCGGCTGCCGCTGCCGCCTTGTTTGTGAAGCTTGTCTCCCTTCATGATTTCGCTCTTGGCTGCCGCTGCCGGCTTGTCTCCCAGGCTTGTCTCCCTTCATGATTTCGCTTTTGGCTGCTGCTGCTGCATTGTTTCCCAAGCTTGTCTCCCTTCGTGATTTCGCTCTTGGCTGCCGCTGCCGCCTTGTCTCCCAACCTTGTCTTCCTTCATGATTTCGCTCTTGTCTGCCGCTGCCGCCTTGTCTCCCAAGTTTGTCTCTGTACGTGATTTCGCTCTTGGCTGCCGCTGCCGCCTTGTCATTTTCTTGCCTGCCTTTGACGTGGATGCTGTTGTGTGATTTTGGTTTTTGAGTGGGACGGTGTGCCTTGTGTCGCTTGCATCTTTTATGTGGCAAACTAAGCATCGTTACTTTCGGCAGGAAACACACCCTTTTAGTGAGAACGCGCAGGCGTTCTGAAAGGTTTGCACATGACCACATGCGCCCACTTGCGCACTTGGGCTGTTGAAATCACCCCGTGCCCAGCAGTTTAGTATTGGCATGCGCCTTAACACTACTTTTGCATTGCCGGCCCAGAAAACGATAACAGAAAAAAAACGATAACGAGTTTATACAGGATGCTATCTGGGGTCTATGCCGGTATAATGTTGAAGATGTTGAAGCCTACTGTTTGGTTTCGTGTTGCATGTGATGTTGGAAAGCCTGGACGCGCTGGTTCCTATGACTATGAACGAGATCGTTTCTGTGATCTTGGGCTTCTACTTGATGGGCACCATGCAGCATATCACACGTGGGCTATGTCATCACTCACCGAGCCTAGTTCCAAGCAATGGCCTCCAACCTAAGAGCGATTGCCGTCAACCTACTTGCGATGGCCTCCAACCTACTTGCCATGGCCTCCAACCTAAGAGCGATGACCTCCAACCTACTTGCGTCTTTTTTGCAGCCAAACAGGGTGAACAGGTGGCTGCTTTTCACGGTGGTCACCACACGGCCAGGACTACTGTGGTGATGGCTTTCAAGCCATGTGATGGTTTTCAACGCGACAGAAGAAGCGCCAAACGTCGCGCCGCTCGGTGAGAGGTCTAACACAACGTTTGATGACTTGATTCATTGATTCGTGATAATTAAAAGTCGACGATGTTGCTACTGCTACAGTGAACAGAAGTTCCATGCGTTCTTTGCTTGCCGAAAGACATGTTCGGCTCGCTTTTGGTCTACTGTACTTTAAATTCCACCCTGACCTTTGTACCGTCGTCCCTTAATGTGGGCTTGAAAGGGCCTTTGGGCTTCATAGGTTTGGCTGAGCGTAGAAGGCAATCTCTTTGGGCTGCCCTTATTGAATCCGGCTCACCGGCTGCTTTTAAGCAGAGCCTGCGTGCTCAACTATCTAAGCTCATGCCAAAAGCGCAGCTGGCTAAGCAGGGCAGCGCCGACGAATGCAGACAGCTCTACTGATTTTGTGCGGTGTTCGTTGCTGCAAAGATTCCAGGCTTCAGTGATATGGGCGGGGTTCAATATGAACACACGACAATCACAATCCATTTGTCTATGCAGTTGTTTCACCTCTATATACTACTCAAATTACTTCGACTTTCCACTGTTTCTTTTCGCTATAGTAGAAACAGAGATATCACATTTTCAGTTTGTTTGTGCATTCAGACTGACATCCAGTTCAAAGTCAAGGGGGAGGGAAGGTGCGGCAGACGCCTTGACATCAAGCGAGTTACCCGAGAATTGTTGTAGGTGAACATCCCTGGTATTTTATGACACTCATGTGTCTTGGGTGACGTGGCAGTAACAGTGGCTTACGCGAACCTCTTTCCATTCCTTCGTTTTTTAGAATTTTCAGTCACTTCAGTCCCTATGACTTGTGATTCGCTTGGAAAAGCACAGCTTGTCAAGAATCAAGTCGAAGACAGACTCAAGAATCTCTCATGGAAGAGCTGGACGGAGTTTCCCACCTCTAAACATCACCAGTCTATTCACGAGTGAAAAACAACATTAAAAAAGCGCGGTTAAAAAAAAAGCATTCGTGTGCGATTTGGTCACACGCAGGGAATCCTCAATCCCAGACTCTGGTGAAGGCAATCCCAAGTTTCATGATTGACTGCTCTTCGGGCCCCAAAGTGAACATTGGAGATGAGTGAGAATGGTGACACTCGGACGAACACATCAAACGGGAGTGGAGAACCACTGGTTTGTATGAATTACGATCGTCTTCTTAGGAGTTTAGGGTATCAAACTACTAGTAGCAAGAAGCTACTAGTAGCAAGGTGCCTTACTACTAGTAGCAAGAAGCTTCTCACTTCCATATCTTGCGTCGTATAAAGTCTGTGTCACATCTGCTGCCTCGGCCTGCACTGAACCTCTTCGCCGCGTCTCTTTTCCAACGCCTGCGGCCTCGCGAGAAAAGGGCCGGCCCGGTGGTCAGGCTGAGGTTGCAACCTGACACCAAATGCTGAAGCGACGTGAACGAAGGGTCTCACTGCACTCCAAGATTTAGACTGGCAGTGTATACCACCAAGGACAGAAACCCTAGGATGTCCCTGAACAATGGGGGAGTTTGTTTTCCTCTCAACGCGGGGGCAGTAAGGGCTTTTTTGGAAGCGCTGAGATTTCCTGCTGTTGCTCGTACATTTGTCTACAGCCTATGCCAAGCCTTTGAAGCCGGACACGTACCGACGGAATCTGAGACTGGTCTAGGAAACCAACATCCTTCAAACATCTTCAACCTGGTCGATCAGACCCCGAACTGCTTGAAACTTGTGTCGCATTTGATTGAAGGGTCTTCAGCATACCTGTTTGCCTTTTTGAATAACGGGCACATAGAAAGATCCTGGTGCCATCATTCTTTTCCTATCAGGGGCAAGTATATACATAGATCAACAAAACCCCGCTGATCAACGCTGATCGATGGATGTGTTCGAACATCCTAGACAATTTGAGCCCCAACAGTTCATATTCTGTCAGTCAATTAGAGTGATTAGAAACTACATGATATATATATATATATATGTACACATACATACAGTCGATTTACCAGTTCTTGACATTGCTTCATCACCGAAGGCCTCATCTCCGCCCCCAGGGCCTCTGCTGTGGCCCGATGGTACAAGTTTGTACGAGTGCAGGTGTGGTACGAGTGGGCCGTCACGGCCCCAACACCGCAGCCCATCCATAATCCTGGTGGCAGATCGTGCGCCGGGTGCTGGGACCTCGACGCTCCGCGGGGTGCGGTGTGGCGTGCGTGGATGGATAAATCATAGGTTCGATGGAGATGGGTGCATCAAAGCTTGGGAAGCCTTCCCCAATGGTGAACCAATTGCGCATGGGAATTGGTGCACCACGCATTCCGAGGCCTGTCATAGTGAAAGACGTTTGGCTGTGAGCCAAGAGGTGGACACATCTGCTTGTTGCATGGGAAGCCGTGGCCCAGAAACGCTTTTCGAAGCGAAACCATAAAGGTTTTCGTTTGCCAAATGGAACACCCACTCTTCTGCTCCCACTTGGGCCCCGGTTTTCGTTGAGCTCAAGCAGCCTAATTATCTTGACATGTTCAGTCTACTGAGTTTACGACCTGGAGTCGGAAGACACCTTTCTTGTGTTCTTTTTGGGGGGGGAACGGAGGAGGCTCCCGGTGGCTATTCTTCACCTCTATGTGGGTGTGTCCAGGCTCTTGAATGTGGTCCATGAAACCCAATGAGATCGAAGGGCACTGGTCATCAACGTTCGACCGACCCCATGCGTGTGTGTACCAGAATCGGGACTTCAATACCCATCCCAATGTGGACCTGCAACTGCAGGCACCAAACATCGAAGCCTTTCGCTGTTGGAAGCAGACCACCGCTAAAAGGGGCCGCTTGGAGGCCGCTGGACGCTCGGACGCCGCTGGACGCCGCTCCGGCTCGAAGCTGGTGACGACGTGCCGCCCGTGACCTGTAGCGACCATGTCCAGCAAGAGCGCAATGCGGCCCGGCTCAGTTGGACCGACGGGCGAAAAAGGGAAAGAGCTGTTGGAAGAACCTCCAACACATCAGTCCGTGTTCCCCGAATTGATGTTGTCTGAGGTTTTGCACTTTTTAAAACATATGTTACACTTGATGAAGATCTACTTTGCTATCTATCCTGGTTGTCAATACAACCTTCTGCCAAAAAGGATGTGTTGAGCGACTGCCAGGTTCAAGATGTGAAGTCCTTCCTCTTCTGTGACATCCTAGATGTTTCCTGTGCCGTCCACCTTCCACTTTTTAAACATCACTTTCTCTTTGCCTCCATCCCCTGGGTGGCGAGAAAGCATCCATGTTGAGGAAGCTCCATGTTTTGAGATGCTTCTCTCCACAAGTGAAGACCATTCTCTCGAGAAACTCGTGGACCAATTCCCACGAATTGGTTTGTTTTTGTTTGGCACATTGCTTAGGAAGAGCTTGAGTATCTTGAGCCACATACCTCAACTGACAAACACCCAAAGAATGTGAGTGTGAATACATATGCACACACACACATATATATATATATATAAGTCTGAACGGAATACCATCGATCTTGCATTACACAGGCCCGCGGACTTCCCAGCAACAGCTCTACCTGTGGGTCCTGCCACAGGAAACGCCCTTCCAATCTGAAGGAACGACTAAGACTATGATCATCACAGGAACACCACCTTTGGTCAATCCCCTTAGACAGGCTCCAACACCTTTGGTCAAAGCCCTGGCCGGCAACTCAGGCTGGCGGCCGCCGGCCTCGTCGCCCTGCCGGCCTTCATCGGAGGGCCGCTGGTGAGTCACGGAGCATCGGCTCGCGCTCCCGCGCTGCGGGGTGCTCAGAGCACAGGCCGGTGGGATCGAGGCGAAAGAGGTGGACTCGGACTGATGGGGTGACTACTAGCTTCTAGCTGCTAGTAGCAATGCCCTTTAAAACGATGCAGCTATGTCAGTCGCAGGCTGTATGGATGTGGTCCTGCAGAGGTTCCAAACCCACCTGAAGAGGAACTTGGATCGCATCTCGAAAGAATCCATATTCCCAAAGTCGCCACCTTGCGAGTTAGTCTACCATGCCAACTCCCTGAAGTACAAAAGCATGGAAGATTTGCTTGAAGAGATCATTTATATGACTTGGTCCCAAGATCACATCCAAAACATCTCACCTACAACTTACAACCCACGTAGCCAGGCTCGGCCGGTGTGGGCGCCGCCGCTGCCACGAGCCTGGCCGCTCTCACCGTGCTGGGCGCGGCCGCGGCCAAGCGCCAGACTGCGCGAAAGGCGCTGCGCCGTGAGCTGGCCGTGGCCTACGAGGAGGGATGTGGACGTGGGTGGAGAACCACGTTTGTTTTTGCAATGAACTTTGGTGGACTAGATGGAAGGAGGTACCTTCCGTATCCTTCTGTTAGGTTTGATATAGTAATTTGACTCGATGAATTGATCTGCATGAAAGATTGCTAGGGATCAGTAGAACTGATACTGATTCGTTTGGTTTTCTGAATCCATAGGCCTAAAGCACACGCAACCGCCCTTTTTGTGAGCCACCATGTGTGTAGGGCGGACATGACTCCATGACCGTTTAGGAACCAACACCAGTTTTCCAAGGCCAGATCCGTCGCACCGTTAAATCTATTGGACTAAACTCTGAAGCCTTCGGCCATGCCGAACGCCGCCCACGGAGTCGTAGCTATTTGCCTCTAGTAATTAGTAATGCACTTGTTACTAGTAGCGATGCATCAGTTACTAGTAGCTTCTTGTTAATCTTCCAACCGGAACAAAAAGGATCAAAAAGCGATCGTCGTTGTGAGGACTCTGGCATTGACCTCCTGGACAACGGCAAGTTCGCCCAAGGCCCTGTTGAACACACTCGGTCGAGCCGATCGGTGGTCGCCCGGAAGCTCTCCGGCTGGGTGTTTCTATGACATGTGCGTGGCAGGTACCACAAACTAACTGCATCTAATTTAATACATAGTGGGAAGGGGTGCCTGCAAACCACCTCTTGGGGTCTGAAAAGCGCACCTGGGAGCATCCAGCAAAGGGGTGGGGCCGTGGACCAGGAGATCAGGGACCAGTCGAAACCACCGAAGCAAGTCACACCTCTTCCAAGAGACTGGCATACTGTGCTGATTCCATGGTGGAGCTGTAGACAGCTGGATTTGCTTTCTGAAGTCAAGCGCAACCGACCTTGTTCACTGTTTGATGCGGAGAATACAGAGAAGACCTAGAGTCGTTACAACTTGCATCAATTCCATTCACATTGGGCAAATAGCTTAGATGACCTTGCCTGAGCGCTTCTCCGCATCAACTCCAGATTGCTTGCGTAGCAGCCTTCTACCCAGGTCCAGATCTTCTCCCTTACCCTAGCTTTCTCGCAGGCTTGGTGGGTTCCGAGGGTGCCTGGGGCCGCTATGAGTTCGATCCTTTGGGCTTCTCCAAGAAGACCGAGCTGGTGCCCTACTTCCGCGAGGCGCGAGGTCAGATTTTGGTCGGGCTTCATTTGTCTCGAGCCAAACGACTGAAGCACAGGCTGAGCTGAAGCACGGACGCTTGGCCATGCTTGCCTGGGTGGGCTTGGTGGTGCCAGACTTCGTGCGCCTCCCAGGTGCGACCGCAGGGCGGGTTTGAATGGCTGATCCTTCGGCGGGTTTTTGATGGTTTTTGCGTGGGCTTCTTGTTGTCCACAAGGGGGACAACTCCTTCCCCTGTGGCCGGTGCTTTCCCAGATTCTTGGTCACAGCAAGGGGGAACGTGTGCTGACAACTCAACATGTTGGGTCTCAGATGTCCAGCGGCCAGCGCACGCCCGGATTCCCCATCCCGTGCGGCCGCCCCATCCTCTGGTGGAGGTGAGAAGTTCTCCTTCGAAGCGGTTCCCGTGTCCATCGACGCGCATGACGCCTTTCTGGGCGCCACCGGCGTGAACGCACAGGCGCCCGTACTTGGTTGCAGACGGGTTGGGAGTAGCAAGTCAGGTGGGAGTAGCAGCAGCCCAGCAACTCCCAAGCTTTTCGAACAACAAGCAGTTTGGGACAGTTTGGGATTTGGGAGTGGGTCTCTTAGTTCTTAGGTTTTGCGGGATTTGGATTTGGTGGAGTCCTTTTTGAAGGCTCTGTTGTTTCCTTTTCAATATGGAGTGACTATATGTGACTATAACATACTATAACATTTTATAACTATATAATATACACAGCAAGGCCTTGCTACCCAGGCTAGCTTTGCTGCCAGTGGTTGGGACTGCAGTGCTTCAAATTCTCAAATGCTATCATCGGCTTTCTGACCGGTGACAACTGTGAAGACTGGATTGAGAATTTTCTCAGGATTGGTGACGGATCCCCAGAGACCCCCGGGACAGTGGACGAATGGATGGTCGTTGTCTCACAAGGCAGCACGGGACGATCTCATACTTTGTCTCACGGTACTGGACTGGTGGACTGATGGATGAAATGGATCCGATTGCCGATTGCGGAAACTGAAATGGAAGTCGATCCACTGAAACCTATGCACAGCATGCGTTGTGTCAGATTCATTAGGCCGATCTGAGAGGTCCTCTTCTGGGTCAGCATCCTGGAGCTCTGCTGCGCCAAGAAGGTCTTCGAGTGGAACTCCGTTGAGGTGGCCGGCGACTATGGCCTTACCAGTTTGTTCCCCAGTGACGAGGATGGGAAAAGGCAGAGCGGAAAAGGTGCATGGCCGAGAAATGCCAAGAAACAGGGAGAAGAGTTTCTGTAAAACATGGGCCAACCTGAAGGTGTTGGCAGAATTGTGATGAACTGTGCTTTTGCTAGTTGGAGTATTGGGGGATAAATGTACCAGCCTGTGCAGAGGAAGAACATGCATGGTTGCTAGGTTTCTTTCTTCAAGTCAATGATTCTTCATATCTCATGTGAAACCCGAAGATAAGTTAAGTAAACGGACTCTTTATGGCATTCGCCTTGAATACATTCATGCAATTTGAAATTTGGGTGGTTGATTGCTATTTGCATGGTTGCCATTCTTCTTTCTTCCTTTGTTCGTGGCCGTGGTGCGCTCCAGGAGGGTCAGAAGAAGATGCGCCTGGCTGAGCTGAAGAACGGCCGCTTGGCCATGCTGGCCTTCGCAGGAGCGGTGACGCAAGCGGCCCTGACCCGCCATCCTTTCCCATGGCTGTGTCCTGGATTTGATTCAGAGTTCTTTTGGGCCCATCGTTGCGGTTTTTACAACACCCGTTCATTGAATTG